AAATGTTATAGGTAGCTAATGGAAAAGGTTTTGATTAGTATCAAAATGATAGGTTGTGCTGTCCACTGCTTGCTTTCTGGAATTTTGCATCCATGTTCATCCCTAGGGTATTGACTTTGATGCTTGTCACTAGCTAGGTCTTTAAAACAAGAGTAATTTGCCTTTAGTTACTGAAAGGAGACTCAGGAATGCATCTTGCAGAAGTTCAAATTTAAATTAGCACTTTATAGGCAAGAAGTAGCAATTATGGCTTGTGTTTAAACACATCTGGCCACTGTTGTAATTAACCTAAATTGTACACAGTGTTTCAAAAGGTGTCTAGTTTAAACAAAAACACTGAGAACACTTTTCTTCACCGGGCTGATCTAGGGGTTTATTGCTTCTCTGTAGAAAATGGGTATTATCTCATTGGAATTAACATGGCTTCAGATCTTAGTTATTGGCTAATGCTGTACCTTTGCACTATACACATGGCCTTGTAGAATTAGTATTTTCTTCACTTGGAGATATTTAATAAACATTAAAGTCAATTTATCCTTTAAAATTATGAAAAATGAGATTAACGGGTTTAGCTCTTCAAATCTCATTAAATGGTTTTCACCTAGTCTGTTAATACCTGCAAATCTTGGCACCCTCACAGAATCTCTGTAAAGAAACTGAAATAGAAGCCTTATAGCTGGGTGCAGTTTTGCATTATAATGCCATAACTGTGCAAAGATGAACTCCAAATTTAAAATGGCCAAAAGAGGACTGATGGGCTCTTTGAGTGTATAGAGGGAAGTGGTGAAAACTCTTGTTACGTTTAGGTAAAGCTTGTTTGTGCTTCGTTGATTCTAAGATCCAGAACCCTCTTTCTACAACTAAATCCTGCATTCATACAAGAATGCAAATCCTGTTCGTACAAGTCACTTTGTTTAAATCTGACTGTTGGAAAAAATAGTTATGTGACCCAGATTGCTCAGCAGGACATGGTTCTTGTTATTTAGCATTCAGAAACTTTTTTCTTTTTTCAGCACAAAATCTTGGAGAATCTTACTGGAAGCCTCCTTATGCTATAAAGCCCTGCTAGCCCTGATGGGACTTGCAAATTCTCGAGCCATTTAATGTAAACATTCATAATGTGTAATTATCATCAAGAAGTTGTGTGGCTGCTGCAATTGTTCATGTAGTGTAAAGTAAATGCAAATAGCTGCTGGTTATCTAGGCTTGTAACCTTTGTTACAAAATCAGATCTGACTATTTGTTATAAAACCAGATTATTTACATTGATTACATCACTTTTCTGTCTGTCTAGTTTTATATCAGGTTGTGCTTGATTTGCAAATACACCTTGTGAAGTCTCATACACAAATTACCTGCAGCTTGAAGCGCTGAAAAAAGCAGAGTTTGCCCTCTAAATAATAGCTTGTCCCAAATAGCTTTTCCAGGCTCCTCATTACTCCTGTCTTCCAAGTTCCTGGCTTCTCCTTAGCCTGCTAAATCTTTTCCTTTGTCAGGATTAGATTCCAAACCTACTGAGCAGCTTTTGTTGAATAAAGTAGCTTTTTGGACTAGGCTTTATCCACCTAGACTTTTGGTCTCTACAGGTCTGTTTTAGGTGCCATCTCACTACCTCTTCCAGCTGAGCAAAGAAAGCCCACACCAAAACCAAACAATTGGGAATTAACAGCAGGCAGGTTTTTGTGTGTGTATGTTAGACATAGCTATCTACAGTCTTTTAAGATCTATGAACTGTTGTTTAACATCTGAGTGGTTTGATACTCATGCTTCTAGTGCACTGTAGTGCTTCAAAGTGCTGTCAGCTTGAAATGTTGGAAGCTTAGTGATTCAGATCTCTTTAAGTGGGCAGCTATTGTAGCTACATACAACCAGTTGGGAGATATTTTCACATCTTGCTATATGTGAGTAGTGTGTTTTCCCATATACTTTCCAGTCTGAAAAGAGATCAAAGATGTAAATTTGTTGCAAAATTAACCTTGAAACAAGTGATGATGAACTCTTTAAGACTTGCATTATTGTGAAAGCTGAGTGATGAACTGAAGATTTAAGCAATTTCTGGGAGAAGTTAGCTGAGGGAAAGATCACTGCTATAGGATGCCACAACCCAAAAAATTGTAAAAGCTTTCTATGGGAGATTAATTTTAACTTGTGAAACCAGTGAAGTAGCAGCAGCAGAGGAGCAGGACTGTGAAGTGCAAAAGCAGGCTCAACAGATGAATGAGGTTACTGTTACTTTTCTGTGTATGTATATATCTCACAGCAGAGAAGAATGTGGAGTAAGTGGGGATGTGCTCAAATAGAATATGCAAGAAACCACTGTTGTAGAAACTGCTGAGTAAGAGATACTAAAAAACAAAGTCATTTTTCCCTATTTAGTCAACAAGAAAACAAATACTGTATTTGTGGCTGAGGCAGCTGTTGCTGCTATTCCATGAATCTGTTTCCAGAGACAGCTGTGGAAATAATACGTGAAGTAGAATCATTAACATAAACTTCTGTGGACACTGGAAGTCCTTGAGTGACCATAACACTGTGAAGTATTGATAAAGATAGGTTGAGATCATAGGTACAAGACAAAAAGGGAAACTTGAAATTACAAAACTTTTTATATACTTGCTAGTATCTGAAGGCTGCTGAAGCTTGCTTTGTCTGGTCCATCTCAACAATTTGGTCTGTGACCAAAGCTGTTCCTAGAAACTGTAAGAGGCAGCTGCTTTTTGCAACACAGCTTTTAAGTAATTCACAGCAAGAGCTGTATGAAATAAGTGTTCTTGGATACCTGAAGCCATGTCTTCAATACGTTTAGGATTTGGAATATGCAGTGCTTTTATGTTTTAGCAGGTTTTACCTGCAGTAAAGATGCAGGTTTTCTTTTGGCAGTAGTTTTGAGTGTATTTTAGGCAAAACTAGTTTCTACTTGAATTTGGGTATGTAAACTTCATCTGTCTGTGGATGACATTTTCACTGTGGGTTTTCCATCCAAAATGCCATTGTCAGTTAGATGTGTGTTGTCTCTACATCTACGTTTGTGTAATGATTTCAGGCACACACAGGACCTTAAGAGACAGTCTGGTCCAACACCCCAGCAGGGTCAAGGAGAGCAGTTAGCTCAGGTCCGTCCAGCTGCGAATGTTTCCACAGACAGCAGCTTCAATGTTTACCCATGCCAATGGTGAACCTTCTCCTATTATGTAGTTGTATCTGGTCAACCCCCAGCCTGCAGTGTTGCATGATGTCTCTTTGTTCCAAGTACAGGGCTTCTGTCTCTGTTAAACTTTGAGGACTTTTTCAAAGGACTTGAAAAATAGGTCTCTCCTAAATATGGTCATCTAGTGTGTTGATTCTCTGCTCTCCTCCCAGTTTGATCTGTGGATTTACAGAGGGTATTATCTCTTTCATTGTCTAGTTGATAAACTGAGTCATCAATGGACTGAAAACAAAAACAGTTAGTACTTGTCATTCTTTGTTTAAAACATTGTTTTATCTTGAATCTTGGCTTTGTGCCTTGGTCAGCGCTACATAATATGCTGTATTTTTAAAGTGATGGCAGTTAATCTGTTGGAGGCTTAGTAATTTTCCATGTATATTTCTGCTCCACATGATCAAGATGTGCCAGTAATATTCTCACTGATCATTCTGGATAACAAGTAGTTATCCTAATTCAGGTTGTTCATTATAACTTAAGCTAAATTGGGTCATACGGAGGAATAAATTGATTAAGAATGTTGTGTGATGTCAACCAATTTAGTAATATATTAGTTCAGAAATATATTAGTTCAGGTAAAAATTAGTTAACTGCTCTTGTGACACATTGCATAGAAATGTTTTCTCAAGGTCAAACTATTCTAAAATATTTACCGTCACCTACTTAATGCAATTATGGTGAAGAGTTATCTGAAAGTCTTTCAGCTGTTTTTAATTCAGGTAACCAGCTGGAGAGCTGCAGATGGTATTGACAATACTATCTGCAGTTACGATGGCTGCTGAAAGGTAAACTATATAACTATATAAGCAGCCTATCGCTCAGAAGTTTAGAAGACAGGAAGTTCTATACTTCAACTGTACCTGGGGAATATTTCCAAACCTATGGTCCAAACGGCAATTTGTGTGGCTTACTTTCTCTAGTGTTCAAGTTGTTTAGACACGAATTCCTGCTCTGAAATGGGCTTTAGGTGGGGTTTGAAGCATAGTAAGTAAAGAAAAAAATCGTGTTATACCTTAGCATAAACTCAGTGCACTCCTTGCACTGGAGAGGTTCAACTGGCTCGTGTGTCCTGCTGGCCACCCTGACCTGATCTCTCAAATGTCACAGGTTCAGTGTCCCATGCAAACCTTTATGCTCCCTGTCTGCAGTGTTGAAAATGCCTTGGCAATTTGATTCTTAATTTTGTTAGAATCTGCCTCTTAAAAAGGAAAAATGCAATCACATCAAAAAATACATGTTAGAGGAGTAAGGTTTAACCATGGTTTTAGGTCTTAGGTACAAATAAGTCCTCTGCTATCTGGATTGCAAAAGTCTCAGTACATATTGGGGTTTTTTCGCCTACATCACTCAACATTGTAGTTGACATTGATTTACAAAACTTATGCAATCCTAGTAGAGACACCTTTTTTTCAGAGTCCTGAAATGTATGTTTAATCCAAAATCTGCTTTGTATCTCTTTCTGGCTATGGTTTATTTAAAATGGGAAGTGAGTTCCATTTGGACAGATTCTAGTTAATAATTGGCACATCTGCAGGAGAAATTGTACCCGGTGGTAAGGGAGTTACCTGTGTAACTTGTGACTTAGTGTTACCTGTCACAGTCACTCTTTGTAACAACAAATGTCGGTCTTGTATACCTTCATGGGAGAGGAGAGTCAATGATATTCAATGAGTGTAATTGTTCTGCAGATCTGAATATTCTCTAAAACTGCTAAATTATTATCCTATTATATTTGGGTTAGCTGATTTTTTTTTTGTTGTTCTATGTTAATCAGTACTGTTTCCTTTCATTTTAGATCAGTGTATTGTCACTCGAACGTACCTCTTTCTTCATAAGTTTTGGTTCTTCAGTGCTGCCTATTACTTTGGGAACTGGGCATTCATTGCAGTAAGTACTTTTAGAGATCACTAAATCAAGTTGGATAATTTACAGTAGTTGTCATTGCATCATTTGCATCACCACCATGCTACTTTGTTTTACGTATATTGCCCTTCTGTTCCCCTTAATTGAATTAACAGTAACTTCTACTACTTAAAATTTGCAGGTCTTTTTAATTGGATTAATTGTTTCATGCTGCAAAGGCAAGAAATCAGTCATTGAAGGTGAAGTGGATGATGATGATTCAGACATGAGTGATGATGAACTGTCTGTTTATTACCATTGATATCCTTTTGCCTTCAAGATGAAAAAAGTGTAATTTAAAGTTATGTTGCAAGTCATACCCGTGTGGAATTTGTATCCAAATAAGCATCCTTGCACCTGTAAAGATAGAAGAAATAACTGTAATCACTTAAAGAGGTAAAAAACCTGAATATCACTTTTTGAGTATCACTGTTAAATGAGAACGAATATTGAAGCTGAGTTTGAATAATATATAGAAAATATTGTTTTATGATTAAACATGTATGTAAATTTCTGATGTATAATTTGATGAACTGTTGTAACTATTTCATAATTCATTGTGTTTTTCTGTTAACTTAAGTTTTCTTAAATACTTTCACGCTCAACATGTAGGACTTTTTTATTCGTAAATAAACTAGCTAAAATCCTGCAAAACAGTGCAAATATTGCTGGAAATATTTGGATTAGATTTATACTTTCAGAAGGGTTTGACTTTTGCATTAGTTTTGCTGGCATTTCTGGGATATCCATACAAAACTATAGCTAATAAGAGACTGTCCTCTAAAGTATGCCAAAAACATTCACTTAGGTGGTGAGTTCCCAGTCCATGAAAAATAAGTAATTTTCATACTATTATCCCCACTGAGTTACCATGGGAATCCTCGGGTAACTATGAGGTGGCTTTTACTCTATCAGAGGAAATCATTAGTGTAAATTACAATATTCAGCACTGTTGCAGTGTTTTAGCACAGTTCAGTTCTGAAACTGCCAGGTGCCTGATTTAGTCATAACTAATGGAATAATTGAGATGCAATTAATTTTTAACATATTTTTCTCTTTAATGCAAATTGTCTAGTTTGAAGTTTTCTCTCAGTATTTAATGTAAATGTTGTCAACTTGTTTACAAGCCAATATGTTTATATAAACACAGTTCATAAATATTTTTGTCATTCATGTTGTTTTTGTAAAGTAATCCTATTTTAGCTATATAGTTACTGAACTATATTTCTAAGTCTGGAAAAAATCTTCAGATATCCTTTCACAGACTCAGAAAGAGACAATGATTACAAATACAGGGTTTTAAGCTTCTAGGGCTACCTGAGGGACACTATAGTCCATGCAAGCCCATGGAAATGTAACTTATGTAGTCTTTTTACAAGACTAATTGTTAAATAGCTATTAAAATGTGGGGGAATTATTATGTCCTGTTTGCATGTTTGCAAACACTAAAGTTATTTCAAGAACAGTCTGCCTCTTCCTGCAGTATTTCAGAACAGCAGGGTCTCGGGAACTTCTGAATTTTAATTTAACTTCAGTATTTGAGGAAGTCTTAGGTGAGTTGCTTAGTTAATGCATGAACACAGGGAACTGATGTTTGGACTTTTATAGGAAGAAACAAAACTGAAGTCTTTGAACAAGCCTTCTGTGCCAGCTACTCCAATAGCATAAATGTTGGTGGCAACCTGGAAGAATGTCTCTTGTAGGTTATCATGAGCTACAAATATGCAGTCAGGTCTGTTCAACTAATACCAGTCAATCAATTTGCTGCCAATGAGACATTTGAAAGGACACAAATGTATTCAAACAGTGACAGTAGGTACTGGAATTTGACTAGTCAATCTGAGCTCCCTTTGACTAGAATTAGCTGAATACTATTTAAACATGACCATTGGTGAAACTTTCAGGAAATTATTTAAAAGAAGTTCAAGTAACTCAAACAAAAGGTGGAACCTGATTTTGGCTGTCTGGAAGCTGCATCCAAAAGGTAGCAGGAAGTTGGAGCATACTTATTTGTGGATGCCCTGATGGAAAACTTACATGAGCTAATTTAAATAAAGGTAGCTGTTCAGATGTCCTCCTTTGTTTGTGGGTTTTGTTAATTTTTCATCTTCAGCTTTAACCTGTGGTAATTATCACTTCTTTCTTTGCCTGTATCATGTACAGATTTGTTTGTAACACCCAGTTTTGCAGAGTTATATCCATTCTACCTTAACTTCTCACTGGGAGATTGCTGCTCATCTGGACAAGATTGGCAGGAAGGTGTTGGTTTTGTACTGTGTAGCTGCTTCATGTTGTACACGGCCTTAGAGGGTCAGTGGTCAAGACGCCTGGTCATTGCCTAGGCATTTGTTGCTGTAAGTGTCTCCTTTTCCTAGGATTTCATTAATTTCCAGGTTCTTCCCAATCCAGTCCTGTTTGCTGTCGAAATAGTCTATATGCAGAAATACAATGATCTGCCTTTGAGTTGGTGACTGTCTCTTTAATTGGATTCAGTAGGTTGGATTCGCCACTTTTTTGAATCCAAGTGTTAAATCAGATTTATAAGCAGCTGTATTGGGTCTGGCTGAGCTGGAGTTCATTTCCCCACAGTAACCCTCACGGTGCTGTGCTTTGCATTGGCAGCTAGAAGGGTGTTGATAACACACCGGTGGTTTGGCTACTGCTGAGCACACCACCAACACTGTAACATTCCTTCCTCAGTTGAGGGCAAGATCCTGGGAGGGGACCCAAGTAGGCCAGCTGAAACAAACTGACCAAAGGGATATTCCAGACCGTATGACATCAGCTCAGATATAAAAGCTAAGGCAAGGAGCAGGAAGGGGGGCATTCATTGTCTAATGGCTGCCTGCTGAGAAACTCTCACACGTACTGAAGCCCTGCTTCTCGGGAGTGGCCAACCGTTGCTGTTCATGGGAAGTAGAGAATAAACCCTGCTATCTTTCGCTTCTGCGCATGCAAGCTTTGCTTTACTTTTTGCTTTAAATAAACTGTCTTATCCCAACCCATGAGTTGTTTTTTTTCCATCTTACTCTCTCCCCTGTCTTGCTGGGAAGGGGAGTGATAGAGCGGCAGGGTGGGCACCTCGTGTCCAGCCAAGGTCAACCCACCACAGCAGCCCATGGCAAGCTGCAGCTATGAAGAAGCAGGCTTCTATGGGAGAGTTCAAAAGTTGTTTCAGACATCTGCTGTCACCCTCTGTCATACAAGCAGTAAATAACTGTCAGCATTCATAATTGGAATTATTCTTCACCTGCCACATCCTCACTAAAATTTCTCAGGAGTTCAATGAACCATTTGACTGACAAGGTTTTAAAAGATTTTGTATGCACTAATGTAATTGTAATGAATATACACTCAAGAATTCATCTCTAAGCACTTCATGTGATGGAAACTTGACATTTTTAACTGTACTGTGCCTTTAGAATGAACTGGAGATGGTTTTGAAATTTACTGTGTGAACTCACCTACTGGATTTGTACATCCATTATCACCCAGTGAAGAAAACTAGCAGTGAAATATAAGATAGCCCTGACTTAAAATAATTGGCTTTGATCAATACTTGCAGGAACTTTTAAGAAACAGAACTTCCAGTATATTATTTCCTAGTTGTCCCTTGTGCTGTCTTAAATAAAATACTTGCAAGTAAAACAATTAATTACTTTCTGTCCACAAAGTTATCCATGCTGTGGCAACACTTCTCTCTCATTTAGCTGTTAGCTGTGAAATGATAGTCCAGTTTTCTGCAGGTTTTGAAGCAAATTTGAACTTTACAGTCATGTTACAATAGTGTTCTACCTTGTAAGCAAAAGTCTAACATCTTCAATTCAGTCTTCAAAGATATCAGTTTTCTGGAATGAAGTCACTTAAAGGCATCAGAGTTGTTTTGCTGCTTTGCTTAAATGAATGATATTTCAATTCCATCTCTATAGTGTGAGCTTTCAAAACTTCTGAATAAGTGTAGTGCTATTGTCAGACTTGGCTTCAGTTACATTTGCTGTTGTACTTTTCCAGTCAGCTTCTACCATGTTGGAGATTCATGAACACTTAGAAACTAGAGAGCCTTGAATCTCACTGACATGTCAAATAAACTGTGATCACCAGGAATGTTTAATAGAATTCAGCAACAACATGTGCCAGATTGGTCCTCAATTTGCTGCTTGGACTACAGTGATTGGTAGTTTATCCAGAGTTACAGGTCATAAATACAGTAAAGCCTGTAATAGTCTGTTTTGTTCCTTAGCTGAGACTGACAGTGTCCTGCAGATGTCCTCTGAATGTCAGAAACAAGTGAAAAACCTTTCCCAGCAAAGGTGCAGAGATATATCTGCAACATCTTGGTATTTTCTGCTTGAGCTTCAGAAAAGTGATTGCAGTGTGGACTTGAGATTTTGCGCTGAAAATTGCAATCTACTATGTACAATGTACTTGTACGAGTCATGCTGCATAGAATGGTAATCACATGCTCAGATTATGTGACTAACTAAGCTGAAAACTAATGAACCTTTTCAATGCTTATGTTTTGCTTCTGAATAATCAGTGTAGACATAACTCTGCAGATTCTTTGACATGTCTTCTACTCCTTAGAGACTGTGTTTCTTGGGTTTCCAGCTGTTACTTGACTTTGTCAACACGAATTTCTGAATTGAAGAGTGGCCCAGCATTCTGAAAAGCATTACCCCCTTGTAGAAACGATTATGTGGTTTTATTGTAAAATACTGGTAATTGCTGGTGTGCATAGCAGGGGTGAAGTTGAAGTGTTTAAAGTAGCTGATAAAGTGCGGAAGGTAACTTTTCTCCTGTAAGTAAGTAGAAATTCAACCTATTATGACAGCACTGATACAGTTCTGAGTATGGATAGGGAAATAAAGCACTGCTTCTGAGACTAAGCAAAGGAAAAAAATTCATCCCTTTCTAAAATTGTCAAAAATAATTTGAAATATCCAAACTGTAACATTTTTCGGCCTCTTAGGTTAAGGATTATGGTTCATATTGATAATACATCCTCTTACATTAGTGTAGATCTGTTTCTTGTAACCTGCAAGGTCATTTGTCTTGCAGATAAAGCAAAGAAATGAAACTAAGAATTATTCTCTTTTCCTGCAAATGTGTATTTTGACTGTACTTCTCAAAAGTTTTGGTTGTGGTAAGATACCATTTTCTGTTAATACTCTAAAACAAATTCTGTTTCCAAATTAAGTCAATTGCCAATTCTGGATAATGAAATTAATCATAAATTCTAGTGTTCTTGATCAGTTTTAGTGAGATGAGTCTGTTACAGAAATTACTGGAAGTTGGACTATTTTTAACGTTCTCCTGTTCAGAGAGATTGCATGAGTGATAGCACTTCAATCAACTTTATAGCTATAAAGAGTATTATTTCTTTGAAATAAACAGACAGTTTAAGCACACTTAATAACCCCTATTTGTAGCTTGCTTCCAGATTCACCCCTGGAAGTATGATGTATATAGAGGGTCAGACAGAAGAATTTTGGGTTCTGGAGGGCTGATAATAGAGGTCAGCTACAGATGTGGTAAGTTTTGTGTTCATCACCTAGAAGACACGTAAGACCATCCCGTATAACAGCTGATTAATATTGAGTCCTTATTTTGTGTGTTATATCTGTGGTTTTCCACAGGGAAAATATGCAGGTTGCCTGTAAAACGAAACAAGTTTAAAATGTTTTGAGCATTTTTGCAGAGGGATGTCAGAATCCTTATTATGAGAATCCAAGTGTCTTGCATAACAGTGGAGATTGTGAGAACACTCAAAGCAAATGTGAAGCTGAATATGTGTGTAGTTCCTACTGAAATTCAAGTCTGGATATGGTGATTTTCACCAGAATGTATGGAACCTCCTGCAAGGAAGTAAAATATAGATTGAGTTAATAGTACTGCTGCTGCTGCTGCTAAGCTGCCTAAACATCAATCATTGTTACTGTATCCTATATAGAGTTTGAAAATTCTCCCGCGTGTAGTAAGTGTATCACTTCACCTGAGAGTACTTCAGAGTCAGGACAGCAAGGACTTAAAATGTGAATGTCTGATATTTCTCATGCACACACATGCCTCTCCCCAGATTTACAGCCTATGGACTTACTACTGCATTAAGCACTTGAAGGAGTGCTCTGGGACAGAAATGTTTGATTGTGACACTTAATATATAATTTAAAGGTACCGTTTGCATCTCAAGTTTAGAATCATAGAATTGTTTAGTAAACTTGGAAAAGACTTTGAGTCCAGTGTTAAACCTAACTGTGCCAAGTCCACCAGTAAACCGTGTCCCTAAACACCACATCTACATGTCTTTGATTTCTCTGAGTTGTACTTAACTCTTTTCTAAACATTTAAGTTAGAAAAGTGCAACTCTGTGTCCTTATTGCCTGCTGACTTTAAATAGTTTCCAAATAAAAATGATCAAGATGCTGATGGCAGGTTTGTCTGATTTGCATAGAATGTTCTTTTGGAATGGGCCGATAAAGAAAAGTTAAATTTATTGCAAAGAAAAGCGTTTTGTTGTGTTTTGAGGTGCAAAGTCCTGAACGTAGAACAGTTCTTATTTGAACATGAAAGTTAAGTTCTTAACAATGGACATATCTTTCTAGTGCATGGAGGGAAAAAAAATCATAATTGGAAAATATGAACTCCTGAAGAATCCTTGCTCTCCTGGCTATGAAGCAGGTACTTTATTTTTTCAGAAATTGATCCCAAATAAATAGTATTTTTATTAATATCCTTGACTAGAAAGATACACCTTTTAAGTTGTGCAGAGACTGATACCAGGATTATTTTAGGATTAGATTTTTAAGAATGAGGGTTGCAGCTCCTCCAAAAACCTCTGGGAGTTCAGATCCTAGGTTATTTGGAATGTTCTTCATGCTTGAAGTGCTTAGGGAAAATATAAAACTGTTTTCCTTTCAGTTTATGAAGGAATTAAATATATAAAGCCCATCCTTTTAATGAGTGGAGTGGAACATGCCATCAGGTTTTAGGTATTTGAAAATACATTACTAAAAAATTAATGCTTGACTAATGCAATTATTATAGAACAGGTTTCAGACTTAACTAGACTCTGGT